ATAGTGTGAGACTCGAACCCATTGAAACCACCTCTTAAGAATGAATGGGGAAGATTTATGCATCAATATAGAAACTACGTTCTAGTAATCTGTGGATTACTATTTAAAGTTTCTTAAACTTCTTTTCAACAATTAACTCGAAGTTCGTAGTCAGATAATGATAATTATATAATGTTTAATTTTATTAACTTGATTTTACTAATTATAAACATTTCAAAATTTTTACGGGACACTAATTAGTTCAAATTTAATTTCTTAAATACAAACATATATGTACATATAATTTTCTTCCTTCTTGATATTCAAAAAATTATATTTTTAATTTAATTTTATAATTATTCACATATATATATATATCTAATTTTCTTTCTCCGTGACTATACCGTTACAAGCGCAGGCCTGACAGCAAAAACTATTTCACCAACCCCTTTCTTCACAAGAAATCTTAGGAAACTTACATCGATGACTACCTCTTTACGCTCATCTGACGGTCACTTAACTGCGTAAGCTAACCCTCCCTCCCCCCCTCCCTTCTTCGATGTCTCATCCCTTTCTTCTGATTTCTGGTTACTCAAGCTCTTTCCATATATCAGACTTATTTCAATGAGATGCATTTATACTCTATATATACTCTCTCTCTCCCTCCAGACTTTCGTGAGCCTGGTTACAGAGTCTACAACTAATCTACTGCTGACGTAAACTTTTGCGTGCTTCACCACGTGGATCTAACCATTATTAAAAAAAGGTCGTATGTCTGTCTGTGTAACATGCTCTTTCAGAAAGTGTTAATATTGACTTCCGTTAAAATTTTATATGTTAACTGGTTTAAAAATATCACTTTATCTGACTTATCTGAAGAGGAAGCCTTAGAAATTTTCAAAAAAGATATATTCAATCACAAAATCTTGTTGCAATAAATATATGTATGCATATAGTTCATCATTTCATTATGGGAGAATAGAACTGAGCACCTCTACTCTGCGTACAAGACTGTTTTAATATTCTTCTTCACAATTTCAATAAAATTTGTTAACATAGACTTTTCATTTCATAGTTTTGTCTTCAATAATACGATTTTTTATTGATTACATCAAGAAATTACTAACTATTCTGTTAACATTTTCAAAATTCTTAAACCACATTAATGCAAAACTTGCTAATACTTTCAAAAGTAATACTCAGAAATTTTTCAATAGACTATTTTCATTCTTCTTAACTGTACATGAAAGTTTATCATACCACAAACACTTCACTTCCACCTGCTCTTATCTTCATCCGTCTGCACATCACCACATAATACAAAAACCAACTTTTGAAAAATTCTATACCACAAATATTACAAACTACTCCAAAAATTTCGAGCTTAACTATTATCCTTTTATGCTTAAGTTTGTTGTCACAACTTCATTTACACCTTTCATGACCTTTTCTGTGTATAGGTACAATATTTCCCTTTAACTTGTGAGGACCAATGTTCTATGTTTATTTGCCACACATGCTTTTTTTTTTTTAGAAAATTTATCACCTCATTTTTCATTTTAGCACATTTTAACTAATTTGTAGAATGTTGACTTGTGTGCAGCCACAAAACGCCCCATTATCCAGCCGTCCACCCCATTTCCCGACAATTCAAAAAATGTACCAATAACTTTAATGCCTCACCATATCAACACCGCCTTTATCAATGCTTTTTTCCCCAAATTCACCACAATGCTTATGAACACAATAAAATACAACAACATACGTACACGACCACACTAACGACAAGAACAACAACAACAACAAAAACAACAACAACGGCAATGAAATAAAAAGTTCCTTTCCAACGTGTTTGGTTGCAGCAGCAATCAATTGAAGCAGCAAACTTTGATTTCAATAACCGTAAATTGTACTTCATTTCTGATTCGTTTCACTCCTTCATAACAGTAAAAAGTAAAAAAAGAATTAATATAAAAATAAAAATAAAAAGAATTTATATAAAAAATAATAAATAAATAAAAATATTCAAGGAGTTAAAAAGTGGATGCGGTTTCCTGCTCATAAATTGTATAGCCATTTTTTCTAAAATTATTTCCTTATAGCATTTGAGAAATATGTAAACCATGTATAGGTCTATGTGTGTATGTCTGTGTGTATCTATGTGTTGTTATGTGTTGTAAAAAAATAGCACAAGTAAAAAATAGTAACTCTAATCCCAACAACAATAAAAACAACACCGACAACTATACAAACAACAACAAAGCAATTTAATGTTAAGCCTTTCATACCAAACGTTTTTCTTATCTCTTTTGAAATGTCTTTTACTTTACTTTACTTTTATAATTCTATTTCCGTTTCCGGCAGCAAAACTTTAATGTCAGTCTCGTGCAAATCAACTTTATGCTCTTATATAAAATTTGTTTTTCTTTGCTCTATTTAAGTTTCAAATTTTTTTTTTATTTTTGAACTTCTTTTTCTTTTTTTATTTTCTTATATGGTATAAGTAAGCATTCATTTTTTATTTTTATCAGTTCAACATTTATCTGCAAGGACTTCAAGTTTAATGTTTTTATGTCCTTGCTGTCAAGTTGTGTTAGAAATGTTAGGAAAAACTACAAACGCCTTTGAACCGGAAGTCGCCAACATCGTCATCATATTGACATTGAATTTGTGAGACATTTGTGCAA